CGAACCATCATAAATCTAAGTTTTTTTAAAAAAAATTGGCTTGCTTAATCACTAATTCCTTTCTTTTAATCATTAAAACTTTAAAGGTTATTGGATAATAATCTTGTTTTTCAAATATTTTGTTTTATAAAGACGTTTCAAAATATCATTTTCCTTACTTTTAGATCGAAACGGTTAATATTTTGTTTCAAATATACTCGGTAGCTTTTAAAATCGTTTTACAAATATCCTTAACTTTCAAAAGTGTTCAAAAATAGCATTGTTTTCAAAATTTTCATTAATACCCTTATTTATTTTTTTCAAAGAACCTAAAAGCATCCTTTAATTTCTTAAAAAAAAATATATATTAAAATACACTTCTGAATTAAAAAAATAGTAATAAAATACATTTATGTTTCAAAAATATTTATAAACTTTTCAAAATAACATTGCAATGTAGATAATACGATGTATTGATAGATGATTCTCGTTCATATAGTTATTGTAATAAACCCTAAATCGGATTTAGGGTATGTTTTAGAGAAAGTGCTTATTAATTTAGGGTAATAAAGTAGTGAAAGGTGGAGATTGAAGAAGTCAATATTGAAGGCTAAACTAAAGTAGAGCAAAAGATATATGAGATTGATTTTAGTGGTGTATAGTTAAAGAATTGGGCATAAAGATAGTAGAAAATACAAAACAAGAAACCCTACCTGCTCTTTTGAAGGCCATCCACAAGGTGAAACAAAAACATGATTCTTTTAGAAATATTGGATAACTTAGATAAAGCTTCAAATTCATCAAATGAACTGTTACATATGAATGGGAAACAAAGTTATTGTTAAAGATAGAGACTTTCTCTAAAGATTATGCCAATTTACGTACGAAAAAAAGAAAATATTATTGATAACGTCGACTAAATATAAATAAATGAAAATTTTATTGATATTGATGGAGACCATGCCATAAAAGTCGTACTATATATGAAAGAATGTACAGGAATTATGTATGGGTGTAATTCACAAACTTATAAAAGAATAAGAATTGTTTTCTATCGTAAATTATACTATAATTATAAGTTATGGGGACCTCATGCATATTTGTGTTTCACGTGCATTTGATACTCTCTCACTATTATGAGCATGGACGCGTACATTATGACTCATAATTTACAACATTATGTTCACCTTAATGTTGTTCGAGCTCTTCCCCTCCAGGGTGTTCAACATAGAGCCTGTTAGCCTAACCCAACGAGCTAGTCTCAAGAGGTGTGCAAGCCAAACTGAGTCATGTGTAGAAAAGTACCAAACATCCAACTTGCTCGAACTAGAAAGGTGTCAAAGGTCATGCTATGCTTTGTTAAAATGATTGACCCACCATATTGCATGTGTGTACATTCTTGTCTTAAAAGTGAGGTTACTTACTAAATATTTCTTAAAATATTCAAGTCATGTGTTATCCCATACAAATGACGATGACGTCGTGATGAAAGCTACGACATAAGGTTTGGGATACCAGCATTTATATCAATTTTAGGTCTGAATGTATGGTTTTTGAAATGCTAAGAATGTTTTAAAGTTGAGTCAACAAACGAATTTGTGTCAAATCCAAGACCACAAACAGGATAATGTTAATTTTTTTTTTGGTTTGGTACAGGTCTTTTGTTGACAGCCACATCAAAAGTCTGCATTAATTTAATTTAAAATTTGATCTTATGATTATTTCAAAAGTCTTCAAAAATTTAAAACATTTTTAAGTTTAAAGTTGAAACCAACTACTTATTAGTATATTGAGTGTTCCAACTTAGGTGTCACCTCCTAAGCTAAGATTAAGGGTTCTAAAACACTCTAATAATTCTTTAATTTCATTTTATATTGGAAATTATTTTCAAACATCATATGAGTTTTAATATGAAAATATAAAAAAACTCATATGAAAATATAAAAAAATTTTGGTCAATCTAATTAATATATGTTTATGTCACTTTCTATGTACGCTAATCTCCTCTACCATGAATTTGTATTATCATTCAAAAGAATTATGAAATATTACTTATGTAACATGACAGGAACCAACTAAATGTATCATGCCAACGAACGTGGAAGGATTTGTTCGTGGGTGACCAATGATAATTCATGAGTTATTATAGTTAAATTTATATTTTAATAATAAATTGTTCAATTTTGAGTATGGTAGAATATCTAGCACGATAAACTGAAACATGTAGGTTTTTATGTTAAATGTTGCGTTTAAAGAAACATTGTTTAGCTTTTGCAATGTCACGTGTCCTTAGGTTTTATGAAGGAAGTAGAGACTTTGTCTTGCGACTGACTATTAGCGACCACGATAAGTTCGATTTTGAAGTGCTTTTCCAATCTACCACTTATTCTATTGAACCATGCATAGCATTCTTTAACACAAATGATTAACATTTTAGGCACTACAATACCTGAACCCATGAGACAAGGTGCAATGGAGTTGAGCAACCTGTGCACCCTACTTGGCCCATGTGCCTCCTTGCAAGCCCATTTAGTCACCTAATGCTTTGGAAGCCCATTCTATACTCTAGAGTTGGTTCAACTATGTTTTTGACTCTTTTAACTTAATTAGTGATGTCTATAGAGCCCTGATTCAACCATGCTTTGGACCTCATTCAACGAGTGTTGCTCATATGCACCTGTGAATCACTCTTTCGAGTTTATACGATTGAGAAGAATACATTCTGAATGCGCTTGCAACCTATCCTAATCAACACCTACAACTTTAAGCCAAGTTAGTCGAGTTTAGCATCTACTCAACTATTTTCTAAGTGCTTCTAAGAGCCTACATGGAATACAATATAACTAATGAGCGTAGAATGTCATGAACAAATTTTTGAAATTTTGAATTTTGGCATGTAGCTAAAATTACAATTTTACAGTAAAATAAATATGATAGAGGTAAAGCAAGTCAAAAAACAGAAGAGTAGCTCATCCGAGAGATGGGACCTGTTGCTCTACATATCCACAATGTCAAAAAAGGGTGAACCACCTCCCCTAAACACAGAGTGGGTTGTGAGCAGTTAGTGAACCACTCATAACCTCGAGACACCTTAGATGCTCATATAGCAATAGAGACTAAGCTCGAACTTCTTTTGTTAGGAGTTTGCAGGCGGTTGGTTGAGGTGGATGAGTGTTTGAGAGTCGTGCGGTCATAGAGGGAGTCTTCTAACTTTATTTTATTTAGTTTTAGTTTTTGTCCTTTTAATCGGCGTCCGAATTTTAAATTTTCAAAAATTAGGTCGTGAGACTATGATAGACATAAAAGAGTTTTTGCGTTAAAAAGATTGATGAGTTTGGCAATCCAAAGCCTACAAAAAGGGTTTAACCCATGTCCCATAAGGAATTGATGTACACAAAAAATGTTATTTAAGAACTTACCAAACAAAAAGGTCCAACACAACCTCGTGCCAATTGATTTACCATTTTAAGAATTGCTATTTAATTTAGTGTTTATAAAATTAAATATTCTAATTTGATTAAATTTTAAGGCTACCCTATCAAATTTTTTTAATTTAGTTTATATGGTTATTTAAAATTCTCTACCATAAAAATCATTTATGAAAAAATTATCACTATTTATGATTTTCTTTATCGAATCATTAGGACTAAAATTTAAAATTTTATATTCATGCGACTAAATCCCAACCATTTTTCAAATTATACCTTTTCATGGTGAGATTTTATTACGTTGGATATTGGTTGCTTTGGCTTGTAATATACACCTTTATAAAAAAAATGCTTCATTCCCCTATTCAACAGTGTGAGATCTCACAATCTATTTCTCTTAGAGGCCAGCTTCTTAGCTAACATAACGTCCGATGTCTAGCTATGATACCATTTGTAACGAAGCATTCCTTGTAAGAATGTGAAAACATTTTCTTAATGGGCACGTTTCAAAATCATGAGACTGATGACAATATGTAACGGGCGGGGCATAAAGAAGGAAGAACCAGTCCCAAAAGTTACTCTAGGGATAACAGGCTGATCTTCCCCATTGAAAGATCCCCTATATGAGATGACTTCAGGGATGTACAGCAATAGAGAAATAGAGAGTACATACAAAAAAAAAAAAAAAACATTTTCAAAGCTCTACCGACCTGATATATATATGGTATAGTTTACTATATATAGCTTTACCATATTTAGCCATCTACTATATATAGCTATTTACCATATTTAGCCATCTACTATATATAGCTATTTACCATATATAGTTTTACCGAATATAGCTTTACCATATATAACTTTATTATATAAGCGTTGACCAAGCTAGAAATAAGTATCAGGCTCCATAGCCTAACAACACATTCCAGTTCAACGAGCCTAATTCTAATTGTTTTGTTCCGAAGCAACTAGCATATTGGAATCCAGTTCAACGAGCCTAATTCTAATTGTTTTGTTTCGAAGCAACTAGCATATTGGAAGATCAATCGGCCAAAATAACCATGGGCAGCTACGATATTATAAGTTTCTTCCTCTTGACCGAATCTGTAACCTTCCTTAGCACTCTCACTCAGGTTAATAGAAAGGAGGTAACAATATAGTTACTAGAAGGTAATAGAATAGACGGAGTCTCTCGTTGAAATTGTTCATTTGGAAATTTCCCGAAAAGCTAATCATAGGTTCTTCTAAAATAAATAATATCTACTAGCAATGGATTTAGACCGATATAAAATTGATCGATATAGAATCGTGAATCAAACGATGACAATCTCCTCGAATAATTTTCATTTTTTAGAAAAATCTAAACATATAAGGGAAGAACAAGTCATAATAAGTTAATAGAAAAAAAGTGAGGCCAATTGATAAATAAATAACAACAACAACAATAGTAATAGTAAACCTATGGACAGCATTTATGATTTGTATATTGTATGGTTTTGATTAAACAAACCATTGTTCACACATTGTCTCTTTCTACAAAGTTGACTTTTGATGTTGGCTAAAGGAAGGTGCGTAAAGACAAGAGTTTCATTAAATAAGAAGAAGAAGAAGAAGAGGAAGAGGAAGAAGATGAATCAGAATCTGAGCTCTCTCCTGATAGGTCTCGTGGGCGCAGCCCTGACTTTGTCAGCTTATTCACAGACATGGGTTTCTCCAACTGAGTGCATCACAGCCGGCCTTCTCGTTCTCGTTTTTGGTCTTCTTGTCAATGAAGGTTTCATCTCCATTTAGCTTCTTCTTTCATTTGGGTAATATTTTGTGTGTATCTTAGCCTATAAGGTTATGATCTTTCAGTGATCTCCATGGATCCATAATCATTTGGTCAATCTATGTGAATCTTGCGGTTTTAATGAGTTGATGTGATGCTTCTATTAGTTTCTTTGTTTGAATTGTTATGTCAGAAAATATTGAGGATCTCATCAAAGGGCTATATGCACTTAATGGGTATTAGTATTTGAAGAAATGTTTGAGTTTTTGAGCCTTACAAGCCATTGATCTTTTCTGGTTTACACAACAGTATCACGACGATAATTAAGTGTACAAACAAATATAAACTATTGTTTGGTTAGATCATGAACCAAAAACAAAATAGGAGCTAAATAATCTAACTAAACAAATAGATACGGTGAGATCCCTTGACAGTGAGAGAGAACAGAGCATTGTTTATAAGAGTGTAAAAAGGATAAAAAAACTCTTTTAAAGTAGACGCGAAATTCGAAAGAGAAAGCCTAGAGAAGCCAATATCAGTAGACAAATGGTAACGGAACTAGACATCGGATAATGTGTCAGCAAAGAAACTAAGCCCCAAAGTATGCCAGCAAGGATGGTGGGCCTCGAAAGGGATGAATTAGAGGGTCCTACATCGATTGGAGAAAGGATGAATTAGAGAGGTGAATTGTGAGATCCTACATTAGATACAAAAGAGAACTAAAGCATTATTTACAAGGATGTGTAAACTTTTTCACATGTTTTTTTTTACTTTGAAAAGAAATCTAAAAGTTCAAAAAGGACAATATCTACTAACGAGCGGGCTTCAGCTGTTAGAGAAAGCGTTCACCAAATGGATGAATTTGGGAATGATGTTCATCAATAAACACCTAGCATGAAAGAAGGAGGAAGTTACATAGCCAGAGACGACTTGCCGACCAAATAAAGAAGCCCTCATTCATTTAAATGGTTGCCGGCAAGTCATCCTTGGCTGCACTACTTTGAAGCCTCCTTCCCACATGCAAGAGCTTTGATGAAAAGTAGCATAAATACATATATATATATATATATATATATATATATATACACACATATAAACAGAAACTGTCAAATGATGAGGAGCAGAGAATTAAGAGAAAAAGAGAGGGTTTTGGCAAGAAAAGGCAAGGGAGAAAGAAGGAAGAAGAAGAGGATTGGTGGACAGGAGAAGGACCAATGGAGTTTATGAAGGGAAATGGAAACTGAAACACTCCAAAAAGTTTAAAATTTTGAGAAGATTTTGTGGGATTGAGAGTGGTTCTAATAAAGCAGTTCAATGTATTAAATGATTGTTAGGCTTTTTACAGAGCTTATAGGACAGGACAGAACTGAGCAGTCAGTCAGGCAAGGAGAGGTCAATGTTGTGTCCTTTTAACCAAAATGCAAGGGAAATACAGTTCGTGTAAAGTGAACTTTGGATCTTGTTGGGATGTGATGGGATTGGATGACACTCAAGTCTTGACATTCCCTTACATCTCCTACAACATAGTTACATTATTTATTTCTCGTTTCTAAAAGTGAAAGTTATCTCTACCTACCAACACAAGTCCTTCCACCATACTTTGTTAGTCACAGGCATATCAGAAAAATTACTAGTCTAAATTGTTGAATAATGAAACTCGACATATAATTTTGATGAAATTTCTTACATTAGAGATTAAATTATTACCAGTATAATGACGGGTATCCTTATAAGTCTGGGAGAAAAGTGCCCCTCAATCGAAGCAACCGTTCAAGTGTTGGCAACCATTGGTATAAGGTCTGTATTTGAATACCATGATTCAGGCAGTTTCGCAAGCATTCTTTGAGCCTCTCCCAAGTTTCATGTAGCGATTCCTCCTCCCACTGCTAGAATGAATGAAGTGATTTAGCTTTGAAGCGTTGGCAATCTTTGAGAGCAGAAAATGCTCTGTCAAAAACTACTGAACCAAATCATTCCAACAGCTCATAACTCCTGCGGTTACTGCACATTCAGCCTCAGATACTAACAATATGCATTCCAACAAGCGTTGTATAACCAAAAGAAGATTATGCTCCTTTCAAGTTAACCATAAAGTAGATTTAACGCACAGCCCCAAGGATCTTAGCTTTGCCTCTAAAACAGGTTCCCATCACAGCATCAAGCAGCCAATCTTCGACCTTTTTAGGGAGGCAAATCCAGAGATCGATCTATCTTTTTTGTCTCTTAGTCAATGAGCCATTCAAGTCATAGCCATAATCACCCTCCTCCCAAAGGACTTCCTTTCTTGGTTGAACTGCCGTGCCACTGTTGCAAGAATGAAGTATTTCTTTGGTCGGAGGGAATCCACACAAGCCCACCAATTAATGTAGGCAGAGATGTAATCTTCCAATTAATCAAGTTTTCTAGAGTCACCCCAACTAAATAGCTACATGTTCAACCACTGGAAAAGTAGAAACCTATGAGATCCTATATTGGTTGTTGAGGAGGAGATCGAAGCATTCTTTATAAGGGTATGGGAACCTCTACCTTGAAGACGCGTTTTAAAAATCTTGAGGGAAAGTCCGAAAGGCAAAGGACAATATCTATTAGCGGTGGATTTAGGCTGTTACAAATGGTATTACAGCCAGACACTGGGCAATGTGCTAGCAAAGAAGGTTAAGCTTTGAAGGGGGTGGACAAGAGACGGTGTGCCAATAAGGACGCTGGACCCTGAAGGGGGGTGGATTGGGGTCCCACATTGATTGGAGAAAGGAATGAGTGCCAGCGAGAACGTTGAGCCCTGAAAGAGGGTGGATTGTGAGATCCCATATTGATTGGGGAGGAGAACGAAGCATTCTTTATAAGGGTGTTGAAACCTCTCCCTAGAAGATGCGTTTTATAAATCTTGAAGTGAAGCCCGAAAGGGAAAGCTCAAAGAAGACAATATCTGCTAGTGGTAGACTTGGGCCGTTATAAAACTAGTTGAAATATTAAATGACATCGGTAGATATTAGGAAAAATGAAAATATAAGAAAACTGGTATTGACAACTCACATACCCGACGTGCAGACCTAGTCGGCTCAACTTGTGTCATGTGTGCCTAATACCAGCCTGAAATAGTAGAGTATATTGATATCTCTGCTACCACAGAATCATGGCTCGCAACCTTTTATCATCAAAACATCCAAGCCATTGAGAAACTTATCAAAATTTTCACCAATAATCTCCACACGAGCAAAAACCATCTTGAAAATGATGGAAACGGTTGGCATCTCTAACAATTATAGTCCTATTTGCAAGCTTTGAAATAAGTTTGATAGCAGTGTGACAATCATCGCACATCCTAAGGTTCTTAATCACCCGAATCGGTGCACCTGATGGTAATTTCATCAGGCCATATGCTACAGCAAGCTTCTCGCTATGATAGCTAAGATTGTCGAGCTTTTGCTCATCCTCAATATCGTGCAACACACCAGCAATATCAGGAACATACCCCAATGGTCGAATCTTGGTTAACAAGTCCCTTACCATTTCATAAATCTGACTCGACTCGGGGTGTTTATTATCTTCGGATGTAAAAACGTGGGCAATATTTCTTATTTCTAACCAGCTCACTCCAGGTTCTTTCTTCACATTTCTTTCTCTCATCAATTTTCGAACCTTAACGACACCGTCCCATCTCCTAACTCTCGCATGCATGTTTGATAACAGAATATAAGATCCTACATCCTCATGATCCATCTGTAGTAAGTACTCTGCTATTTGTTTCCCTTTATCATAATTTCTATGAACATAACAAGCATTGAGAAGGGTGCGCCATGCAACAACGTCCCAATTGATTGGATTCGACCTCATAAAATTCTCAGCTTCATCGAGTCGTCCAGATCTACTTAGAAGTCCAACAATGCAGGTATAGTGTTCCAACCCAGGAACAATACCAAATTGTTTCATCAAATGATTAAAATAGTACAATCCTTCATCTACCAAACTTAAATGGGCACAAGCAGAAAGAACACCAATAAAGGTCACATAATTGGGACATTCTCGAGCAGTCAACATGTCGTGGAATATGTTCAACGCTTCCTTACCGATACAATGGTGAGAGTGACCAGTTATTATCGCATTCCAGGTAATGGAATCACAACACTTCATGTTTGAGAACACGCATTGTGCTGCTAAAATGTCCCCACTCTTGGAATACATTATGATCAAGGCATTCCCTACTATAACATTGCCCTTGAGACCAGATTTTTCGGCACGAGCATGTAACTGATCACCATGGCTTAGTGCGGACAAACCTGCAGCAGAGTTTAACAACACAGCCAGTGTATATTCATTAGGAGGAATATGATCAATTTCCATCTTTGAAAACAGATTCAATGCTTCTTCAAAGAATCCATTCTGAAAATAAGCTGCCATGATTGCTGTCCAAGAAACAACATTTCGGTTTTGCAACTGATCAAAAAAGGCTCTTCCACTCAACACATTACCACATTTCCCATACATATCAATGATAGAACTTCCAATATAGACATCGTAGTCGATATCACTTTTCAACATTCGAGCATGAACATGCTTACCGAATTTTAAATCTTTAAGACTAGCACAAATGCGAAAAATCGTAACGAAAGTGGCGTTATTCCATTTTGTGCCTTCACCAATCATTAACTTCAGAACTTCTATAGCTTCTCTCACATGTGAATGCTCTAGAAGCCCATTTAGAACCAAATTATAACAAAATACGTCATAACCTGGCACAGTATCTAATATCTTCAATGCTGCTCTTACATCTGAACACTTAGAGTACATCTGAATAAGTGCATTCTTAACATATTGATGAAGCTCCAATCCAGACTTTAAGGAAAACCCATGGCACTGCCTCCCCTCTACATACATTTGACTATCACGACAAGAAGATATAACAGTGGCAATCACATATTCATTGGGGAAAATATTATCCTTCACTATCATCTTTTTGAACAACTCAAAAACTTCCAAGGGACTCCCATTTTGCATATACCCAGCCATTAAAGCACACCAAGAAACCACATTTCTTTTCGACATTCTATCGAACATCTGCCGAGCAATGAATAGTTCATCACATTTCACATACAAATTAATAAGAGAATTAATTTGGTTTACCCTGCAGTCTCCAGGGAGGCGATTGGTAATGATCAAATGGGCATGGATTGTTCTACCAAATTTTAAGTTTTTGGCGTCTGCAGCCACTTTCAAGAGCTTCATTGGGTCCAGGAGAGGAGAAGCCAAGTCATTGGACTTAGATAGAAATGGCGTGAATTTGACAGGAGCAAGGCTACTAATTGGTACTGGTAGCTTTAACATAGCCATTGCAATGCTTTGAATTTCTAGTTAGAAGTAATTGCTTTTAAGGTTATGCAAAGCTTTTTGGCAGAATCCATCGATCCGCTCATCCTCAGAACAAGCTCAATCCTACTAACTACACCAGTGGAAGGCAGTAATTCCCAAGTATAATGAACAAAAATAAATAAATAAATGATTTTTATAAACCGAAAACCATACCGAAGAATACCCAGCTAACAAATTGCACAGAAAAATTCCAGCAAAAAGATGTCTACTACCTCCATATCATTAGGCAGCCCGTGTTTATCTTTTGTATGAACCCCAAAATATCAGTCGGCAATTACCAGCAACGATTCGCCGTCTCCTCGCAGCCGCAACCATCTATCTGTTCTAACGATTTGTGGTGAGGTTGAATCCCGGTTCGTTGCCGTGGGTTTGCACATGCCACATAGTAAACCAATGATTTCCGGTTTATAAAATTGAAGACCGAACGGTCCAAACCGTACCCACGGTTGGGAAAACCGATTTTCTTTGTTTTCTTGACCAAAGTTTCGTGTCTAAACCAGTTAAACTATACTCAAATTTAGATGATTTCAAACTTTCAAAATTCTTTTTATAGTACTCTTTATCTTTGGCGGAATATATTTTAATAAAATGTGTGCTCATGAGGTTCGACTAAAATCAGTAAGACACCTTATGTGCTCTTGAAGTTCGACTAAAATCAATTAGACCTCTTACCGTTGCATACATTTTTAAACTTTTAACTTAAATTTTAAATAAGATATATGATATACTAACAACTCTTCTCCACTAGAAAAAGATGGCATTGATACAATATCGATATAGCTAAAATAGGTTGACTATAAGTTTTCTAACCTTTTTTCGTGTCAAATTTAGGAAAACATGTGACGGCGGTTGATGGATAGCAACCACTAAACTTAGAAAAAGATGAAAATGGTGTAGAAATATTGAAATTTTTGCAATCTTTGGTACTACCCTCTACATATTCATCTAGCATTTATGTAGGGTTGGAGAATCGAACCATGCAGAAAAAGCATCGTGTTCATTTATTTGTGTATTTTCGCATGTCTCCAACCATACGTGCCTAACCCAAATACAAAGTAGATAAAATAAATAAGGTGTCTATAAGAGCTTTAGGTCAAGCCCATCTTGTAGTCTTCCCTTCCCTTCAAACATACATGGCACCTTCAATGCACAAACATCCAGGTTGGGCTCTGTATTTTTATGTTCTAAACTACCTTCTTCAAACAACAGAAGAAGCGTGGACCAGAATTTGGTTCCAAAATTGATTCTTTTTTTCTTCGTTGGATGTGCGAATTATGTTACTCTCTTAAGCACAAAACGGCATGAAAGAGTACCAAACAGCAACTCACTTACTGAGTTCTTAAGGCTTTGATCCAATCAATTTCCAGATTGAAGTCACCGGGGCCAGATCTTGCACCTGGAACGCCAGCAGCAGCATTCACTGATAAAGACATGCTTACAATACGAGATGGGTTCATTTCCATCTCTGTATCTATTATATTCCCTCTCCATGTTGGTAAATATCGATCAAGAGGAATCTGAAAATTCAGACAAAATGGAATGGTTAGTTTTAGTTAGCTTGAACTCAACCACATCACAATCATCTACTTTTATATATTTGTTGAACTCAAATAACATACTTCCTATGTACAAGAAGAAAATTAAATTAAGGCTATGGTGCTAATTAATACTGTCATAAAAACCCAAATCAAAAGTAAAAATGTTCATATATTTTCATTAAGGTTTTGTTCTTTCCAAGATTCAAAGTTCGAGCATTCATACAACAGTATACCATAATTGCCAATAAGCCATATAAACGATTTGCAAGCTACAAGATGTGGAAGGCCACTTGCCTTGGCAATATACCAATCATCTTTAGGGGCTAGAACAAATGCTTGCCATGAATTATCTTCCTCTTGTCCTGGTGAGTTTACCCAATTCTCAGTATAAATCTGTGGAGAAGTTTGCAGATATTCATGTAAATGCTTCAAATTTTCAGTTGCCTAAACAAGGCAAAGCACATACAATCAAATCTTTTTGCCTTTACACTCATTACCTAGGGGGAAAAAAGAAAAGAAAAACGAACTTACAGTGGATATATAGCATCTTCCATCTCCTTTAAGCCTCAAAGCAATGGAATCATACAAATCCAAATTAATGAAGCCATCAAACTGAAGTAGATAACATAGAAGATCAAGAATTAGCCAAAGAACGAAAAAAAAAAATATTGTTGACATAATGGAAACCTCTTAGGAACAAATTCATTTTTAAATTTAGCATGAGGAGGTTCAAAAGCTACACTTAAATTATCTTTGGGGAGTATATAAGGAGATATGGAGAACAGAGATTCGAGGGAAAATAACCTATGGGTGCACTGAAACCAAAAGAAAGAGGTGCCGACTTTCTAGGCATTTTCATAACATTTATGACACTCTTTCCATTTAGGGAATGTCTAAGGAATCTTGATTGTCAATCTGTAGACCATGATATACAATTCTTCTTAAGGAGTTTAAATGACGTTGTAAGGTAAGATAACCAAATATCAAGAGCTGGTGACAGGCAGTTATGTTTTAAGGTAAAAGAGTTGATTAATCTTGTAGCCCAGCAAGTCAGCAGGTACACGTTCAAATCTAGTATAACAACAACAGCAACACCAAATATTTTTTAAAAAAATCTAAAAACAAGCAAGAATATGTTTCACCTTTTTGGAGCGCATTCCACAAAAACCACTCCTGTTTATGTTCCATTTTGAATTCTCATTTACATCCAAGGAGAGCTTCCCAGAGAATATTCCTATAATAAATAAAAGGTTGATACATATGCATTTGACGGACTATAGAGCAAGTTATAATTTTGCCATGTCTTTTTGCACGAATATAGTAGAAAGAAAATATCAATCCACACCAAGTAAACTGATTATGCTATTACAAGATTTCTTCAGCCTCCTAAGTTAGAGAGTAAATAGTGTGTTCCCCAAACTTGCTACAGAATTAGTAATGGCACCTCATCTATGATCATCGTGCTTTTCCGTTGTCCATAACTACATAACTTTTCCTATAATTTTTATGAGACTTGCTAAGAAAAACCATTCCAATCACTGTCATACATTCGGACCGCACAAAGCTTTACGCAGTGTTTCAGGAAAAATGTATCTTTTCTAATGATGAAAACGTGAGAGAAAACAATGCATTTGTGAAATATATGTTTTGGAGAGATAAAAGAATGTATAGCATAGAGTATACCAACAACCCTGAAGCTTATAATATGCATTTAAATGAAGAGATAAAATCTGCTATGTACCTCGTAGCTCATTTCCAGTTTCAGTGATCTCCAAAGATGCTGTAGACATTCCTGGAAACAATCCAATGAAGAAAACTAAATATTTTATTGCAGAGTTTATTAAAATGGATCCTTAAACAACTTACTATTTGTCCTTGTCAAAAGTTATTGATGACAATTGAGCAAACAAGAGGATTATAGCTAATAAATGGACTTGAACTGTTTTGCATTTCTATTTCACTTCTAAAAAAATTATGAAAAAAACTTGAAATGGGGGGAAAAGAAGTGAAAATGCACTGACACCAAATCAGAATGCTAAAGGTCTATTTTTCCCCCTTATGGAGAAATATAAAGAAATAAGGATAAACATACACATGCACGTACCTCCATACTCCGAATCTGAATATAAATGCCACTTCTTAACTTCTTGCTTGGAATTGAAACTAAAGATGTATTTTTCAGTAGGTGGTATCCAGTCTTCAACATTCCAAGCGAGAGCTGTAATATGACATCCAAAAAAACAAAAGAAAAGGCATAAATAGATATCAATCATACAGGTAGCATATACAACTTAGGGGTAGAGAAGGTAACATTTTTCTATAACATGATACAAACTTCTAATCGATAAATGAAAAGGAACAAATTGTTCAAATGGTACAAACTCCAATACAGAGTGAGAAAGCACAAAGAAAAGAAAAAGGGAAATGAAAACAAAAGAACGAACGAGGAATATCATCCAAAACAAAATAAGAGATATAAAAGACTTAAAATAGAGGAGCTACAGAAAAATCCAGCTGGTCAAATCTGATAACCCCTTAGAAAATCCCAATGGAAACTTCAAGGATCTTTAATGTGAGATCCCACGTCGATTGGAGAGGGGAACGAAGCATTTTTTATAAGGGTGTGGAAAGCTCTCCCTAGCAGATACGTTTTAAAAATCTTGAGGGAAAGCCAAAACAGGACAATATCTACTAGAAGAGTGTTTGGGCTGTTACAAACTCCCATTCAAGTCTTTCATTCCCCGCTTTCTGTCCATATCTAGTCCCTTAAAACGCGTTCTTCTCTAATGATAGAAAGAGGTAATAAATAGGGAAAGAAGACTAAAAAAGACTCCTAGCAAGTAGTACCTCCACGTCCTGAGGCAATGCACCACGGCTGTCATCTCTTTCTCTGTCCCGAAGGAGAGCTATTTTTAAGCAGGTAAAGGGCTAGTAGTGAGGGTCTTCCATCAATTTTCCCGTGGCTTGAGTTCTGAGACAAAGATCAATTTGTAACAGCCCATGCACACCGCTAGCAGATATTGTCCTCTTTAAACTTTTCCTTTCGGGCTTCCCCACAATGTTTTTAAAAAACATATACTAGGGAGAAGTTTTCACACCCTTATAAATAATGTTTTGTTCCCCTCTCCAACTGATATGGGATCTCACAATCTACCCTCCTTTGGGGGCCAGCGTCATCGCTGGCATTCATTTCCCTCTCCAATCGATGTGGGATCTCACAATCCACCCTCCTTCAGGGCCCAGCATCCTCGATGGCACTCGTTCCTCTCTCCAATCGATATGAAATCTCACATTTAACTTCAAACTCAGCATCAAGAAGCACGGCTAACAAATCTATAATTCCTTGTGAAACTATTCCAATTCCAAATCTATAAAATCAAACCAGCCGATGAGATTTTCAAAGAAGACTGCTAATGACTCAACAGAGGCCCCATTGCAAAACTTGGACGGGGGTAATGGGAGTCCCTTGAAAAATATCTTCTCAAAACTCCTTAGAAGAATTCCATAACCACAATAAGAAGGTATAAAGCTCACTGAATAATTATTTATATACAGATAATTCTGAAGCTTGCAGATAAAATAATAGTGGTTAAAATAACCTTTTTTTGTTGAATTTACAGAAGCTTGCCAGAGTGCTCGCAGTTTTGACATCTTTCATACACACTAAAGCTCTTAAAACAAATGAGAAGGCACTTCAGACCTGAATAGCCATGAAAGAAGATACAAATCCATAGATTACAAAATAGAATTTCCTCCAAAACAAACAAGTGACACTAAATTAGAAACATATAGTGAAAGTTATGGGTACCCAACCCTAGAAAATGGGCATCTTATCTGTAGAAATAGATTCAATTAAAGCCAGGCAGTGTCCCTAGTTCCGTTTTGATCATGAGAAGATTACGAAGAGTATCAAATATCAATTGCTATTCTTCTCTTAGGAATCAAAAAGCTCATGAGAAAAACAACTGAAGATGAGTTGAAGAATGAATCAAAATAACTGCAGCATTGCCAAATTTGTGATTGTTTGTCCACATCCAAATGTAACTCATACAGCATATGAAAACATGATTCAAATCAAAGAAATAGAGGAGGGGAAGGGAGGAGAGTATATAGAGCATAAATCAAATAAAACATATGAAAATCAGAACATCAACCTTACGAGTTCGGGGGGAGAGGGAAAGAATCAAGTAGTGGAGGAAGTTAGGGGCGCTCTAGGGTTGGAGCTTTAACTGAAACTCGAAGGAGATGAGTGTCGGAAGAGCCGAAGAGCGAAGAAACGGAGACGGAGAAATGAATTAAAGAAAGAAAGACGCTTGGAAGTTGAAACCAAGGCAGTTCCTTTTCCCTAAACCCCCCCTTAACCAGAAACTTTTAACTTTAATTTTCTTTATATTAAAAAAAAAAAAAAAAAAAAATCTAACATATTTAATTTTTTTTTTTAAAAAAAAAAATTATTGATATTCTTCGACTTTTAAATTTTTTTTAAAAAAATTTAGAAATAATTTATAAGAATTTATATGAGTTAAAAAAGGGTTAATATTACTTTAAAATTTTCATAAGTATTTTTAAATATAGTACCTACTTTAAATTATTTGAGATATTTCTTTCATTATTTAAAATTAATTTAATATTTTTAAAATATTTGTTATATTTTAATTTTTAAGTTTTATATATTAATAATTTTTAATTAAATAAGTAATATATATATATATATATATATACTACTTTTTTTTAATCATAATCTTAAATTTAGATTACAAAAAATGTCATAATCTACATTTTCTATTTTTAAATGAAATTAAAAAAAATTAATACAATGCCACCACCGTATTGTGATAGATAATAAAATTAACAAACGCAAATATTTATGAAACAAGATATAATTGTACTATAAAAATATTTATGAAACAAAATATAATTGTACTATAAATTCTGTGGGTAGTTCAGTATTTGCAGTGGTTGGGAGTGAAATAGATATGTGATTCGTTTTATAACTTTGTAAATTTATTTTGACTTGCGGCTAGTGCAAGTGAAGGATGTGCAAACGCATTATGGGTTACACGAGAATTAAAAGGAGTGCTAGTGCATCCAAAAAGTTAAACAGTGATGGTGAAGAGACTAAGTTTGACTAAGTATATTCTCGGCAATGTACATGAAATTTATAGAAGATAAAGAACTCAAACTGGTTGCCTTGTTATCAACATGTAAATGCAAAGTGGTTAACAATTCGAAGAAGAAGATATTGAGAATCATGTCGATTTGTCTTACTAGAGCAAGTTTGCCAAAGGACTCTAAGTTAGATGCTAACGTCATCTTTCTTGATGAAGATGATGGTTAGAAGAGATGAGAATTCAATCTCATGATGTTCTCATGATGCTACGAGTTCCTAAAATACCCGCAAGAACTTTCAAATGTTCTGATTTGGTTTTAGGACGTGCATAAAACTTTCATTAAGATAATTTCTTCCCATTATTTACAATAAGGAACAGAAAAAGAAAAACTTCAACAAAATGCATCATTTACTGAATCCCACATCGAAACCACAACCGAAACTGTATATACAAAAACAAAACAAAAACCAGGCAATTTAACATATATCAACGAAACCGCTTTCTTTCCTCAACTTCCCCAAACAAAAACATAAACAGAATCAAAAAGTTCATCCACGAAGGGGAGGAGGTGGAGAAACATAGCCGCCACCTTTTACGTTGGTGTTTGGTTCTGGATCTGAATAATCCGTCGTCTCCATCATCATCATCCTCCTCCGCATTTCTTCTCCACTTTCCTGCAATTTTTCAACCCTAAAATCAAACACCATTTTCAGATCCCTCAGATTCCCCAAAAGAACACCCTCTTTAATTACCTTTAATTCAACACTGGAGCCATGGTGTGTATCAACGCCCTCCATCATCCTCATTTTGCCTCCAAATCCTGGAGATCTCACAAAAAAAACCAAAAACCCATTAAATTAAAACATCAAAAAGGGAAGAAAACAGGGGTTTTTAAGAAGAAAGCAGAGGAAAATGAAATATGTACCATTAGTGAAACAGGGTGCGATTAAGAGAGAAAGAAGAAGAATTGAGAGAAAAGGAGAGCGACCCATTTGAATTAAGGGGATTTTGAGAGATGGGTCGGTTTTAGATTTACGAATTTATGAATGAATCAATGAATCAATGAAGAAAGAAGACAAAAACTGGGCTTTTGTTCTCTCTTTCGTTGTTGGTTGCAGAGAAAATAGGTAAGTGCTGCCACTTAACTGCAAGGAGGGATGAAAGGCTATAAAAATGGGGTTTTTGAAGATATCTCCAACCCAATCGCCGTATTCAGATTTGTTTTATGTGAGTTCAAGATTATATATATATATATATATATATAGCATACAGCCTTTCTGAGCTTTATTTTATGGAGTTTTTTCTTATAAGCCAAAGGCAAGAGAAGACTTGAATGCTTTCTTAAAAACATTATCATTTACTCCGCCTTCTAAAGTTTTGTTTTTTATACTAAATATATGGTTTGTTCGCATTATTTCGATTCGATTTTAAGATGGATCGGCATCATTTTTTATAATCTTTCTCACGTTTTTAAATTAGAATTACTTGAATCGGACTGATTTAGAATATTTTTACAAATTGACGAGCAATTAAGTTTAAAAAAAGGAAAATTTTGGAATGAGTTAGCATGTTACTAAGATAAATAATGCTCTTAGTGATAGTTAGATATGCATGCATTATTTTGTTTGTATTTATGATTACATGTAAATATTGTTGTGAAATGTTTATGGGACGAAATTCATGTATTGAATGATATGATATTCGTGAAATAAAATTGTGACAGTTACTCGTCAAATTGTACCATCACAGTCACACGTTAAATTGTCTAATTTTGTTTTTTGAATTTTGGATAGACAGTTTTCAACCATATATTGATGGTAAGATTAAATTTTTTTAAGACACAATACTGAAAGTACGAGTATATTTAAGATTTTTTTTTAAAGTTTAAGAATATTATTAAATTGAATCGATAAATTACAAAATTTATAAATATTTTTATTAATTTAACTCTATATACTAAGAAGATATTTAAAAAAATAAAGTAAGCTTCAAATATGGTATCAAAAAGGCATTATTCTTGGGCTCATTATATAAAAAACTCTATAATTAAGTCAAATTCATTACTTGGTCTTAAATAATCCACCAGAGTTGACTTTCTTTAATTAAAACTTTTTTTTTTCAAATTTCATATTATTTAAATTTTTTAATAATTTATGCATTAGCTGGAGTTAAAATAAAAGAATGATATAAACCAACAAAATCTTCTATTTCTTTTTTTTTAAATGGTTGAAATTAGGCATGTACCCACGACACTAAACCTAGTTTAATTAAGGAAGGAATGACATCTTGATCCATCGAATGCTACTTCAATTACTGGTTTGTTTAGTTGTGTTCTTGAATCTGCTGGCGTTTTAACTTTCACATGATCTTATTTACTCGATTCGTTTATGATTTACTTATTGTACATTAACCTCGAATTATGTGAGTTAGCATGTGATAAGTACGAGAATGATACATGGTCTTTACCGTCTTTACCCATACCATAGTTACCCTTTTCGAGTGGGAAAGATAGGTGAGCCCGAGTCAAGAGATGACTTATAATGAGTATATAATGTTAAAAAAAGAATCCTCAATTGTAATGATTTCAAATTTGATAATAAGATAAGAATACGCTTCGATTCTCGGAGTTTTGAATTTTGGAATTTTTTTTTTGTAAGTATAAATTTTATATTTTATATTTAATAGTGACATAAATTTTTAAAAAAATAACATCCAAGTCAAATGATTTATTTAATACAAATTTAAAATATTTAAAATTTAAAAACCAAATAGATACACGGTAACAATCCAAGCTCATTGCCACCTGATATTATTAGCTTATGTTCAATATATCATCGTGAGTCTTACAGTTTTAAAACGCATTTGGTAGGGAGAGATTATAAACGCGTATGATAAAGAATGTTTCGTTCTCTTCTCCAACCAATGTCGGACTCTAATACCATTTGTAATAGTTCAAGCTTACCACTAGTAGATATTGTTCGCTTTGGCTCATTACGTATCATCGTCAGCCTCACGATTATAAAATGCGTTTGTTAGAGAGAAGCTTCCACACCCTTTTAAAAAATGATTTGTTTCCTTCTCCGCTCGACGTGAGATCTAATATACATATTTACAAAGGGGCGAAAAAGTTAGGGTTTTCCCAATAAAGTACAACTCCAATCCAAATGAACAACTTGGGTTGTCTTGGTTTCATAATTGAATGTAGAGTCATCAACCACTAACTCACATTGGGATTCACTTTAATTATATATCTTATAAAATTGTTTATTCCCTTAAACTTTCCTGGATTCCGGTAGGGCCACATCTAATCGAGTTAAATGGATATTTCTACTTATTTGTAGGTATCTTATCAGGATAACACTATTGATATGACCAACTTTATAATTGTTACGAATAGACAACAAGGTGCAAACCAAGCGCTTGCGTGAAAGAAGAAGCTGATCATTTAGAATGGAGACATGGAGACATGGAGACGCGAAAGAGAGATTTTCGAGCCTGCAAGCTGCAAGCAACAAGGTGGAAAAATTGTTGCACGGTAACTTGTAAATTAGGGGTCTCGTAGGTGTACTCATATACATGGTCAAGATTCAAATGAGTTAAGTCCAACTTTGTCCTCTTATTCAAAACCTAAACTTACTACATTTTTCTCTATTTTCTACTGGGAGTAATTTACTTACGAGACTTAGTTGACATTCATAAAAAGTCTCTAATGAATTATGAGTTCAATACATCCGAAAGACGGACATTCCTTGCTCATTATCAGACAACCACTTATTCACAAACCTCGTGTGTGGCTAATAGTTTGAATCTCCCGACTCGCCAATGGATCTAATGTCATGGCGAGGCAAAGGGGGAGGGAGAACTACGAAGCTTTGTAGACTCGAAAAATTGCTCCCCTTAGAATGCAAGCAAGGTTGCTTGCTTACTCTCCGTTGGCGGCAAGAAATGAGGCATTGGAAAGAAAGACTAAACCATACTAAAGACAAGAGGCATTATGTGAAAGGTCTTCCCAATCCGAATCAATTAACGTTCCACACCAAAGTCGATGTAACATACCATTTTTATTTTATTTCTTCTCAGATCAACCAGCTCGAGTATAAGTTATCGAAACTTATATTAAAATTTAACGAAGAATTTCATAAAATTAAAAGTATAGTATAAAATTGAATAATAACGAAATAACGTAATGCAAATATCGAAGTTAAAATGATGAATGATATGATAGACACATGAGGGGTTGGCATTCAGCAATCCATAGCTTTCATACAAATAATGTAATGAATATCAGAGTTAAAATGATGAGTTCCAAACCAAATAAATAAATAAATAAATCAATAAACAAATAAAAACACACATATTACTTGGCTGCAAAAAAATGACAAAATAAATAAATAAATAAATAAATAAAAAGCAATGTGATTAAATTTGAGCACGTGATTAGGGCCCACCATAGGCACCAATGTCCACCAATAATTCTAAATATCTTTTCGGGTTCGGTTTAGTCGAGAATTTAGATCATGATTCGAAACTTAAAATTGGAACCGATGCATTTTGATATTTTCTTATATTTCCCACGACATGGTCAAGTTATTTACTTTTTGCTTCTAACACGAGTCAATTCAATTCTGTATCTCATAAGACATTAAACTTTAAATGTGAAAGTTAAGAAATAAATTTAAATTTTATAAAAAAAAAGTTTAGAGAGGTACGGGTAATCTTTTTATCGATCGAATCCTTAACCTCGCAAACACGTAAAATATTAAATTTAAATAAAATTGGTAGGATAGAGACTAAATATGTATAAATGACCCACAAGTACAAAATTCATAATTAAACATTGTCTTTCTTTATTTGTGCCTTTTGGTGCCACTTGTTCGGATTCTTCAATAACTTTTCAAGTGATAAAAAGAAAAAGGTGCTTGGCTTTTTTGTGATGACAGTTCAACAACACTTACCTACAGGAGACGTGTTCCCATTAGATAAGACGATAAGACGACCCTTCTCCGTTTTTGATCTCCGAAAGCGTTTTCCTTCCCCTCCCTTCATCGAGCCTTTCCTTTAATGGTCAGGGGAAGCCGTTCCTTTTTCTGAACTTGACGGGCACTCTTTACTAGCGTTATTCAGACAAAAAGGAGTGTGAACAGAGTCTCAGATGAATTTTAGGTCCTAGCTATGTCATGCCATACGTTCAATACAAAACTTGACAAGTCCTCTGTTAACAGATACTGTCCTTTTTGAGTTTTCCCTTTCGGGCTTCCACACCCTTATAAAGAATGTTTCGTTGCCCTCTCCGATCCACGCGATAACAAGCGAGATCAATTATTGATTTCTAAGAATTTATTGAAGTACACATTTAGTCATTATTTGTACTACTACTACACCTCACTTACTTCTGCTACTGACTAACTCTTCCTTCATCCCATACATTTACATACATATATATATGTATATCTATTTACATCATCATTCAGACAAACTTCCAGACTACAAACAAAATGCCTCCTACTTCTTCAACACTACAAATACAACATAAAATCAACTCATTTTCGTGTTCCGCTACCGAACTCAAGCTGTGGGATGGGTCGAAAGATTTATACAGTTTCGGAACTGAGTGATGAACACATAGAAGTTCTAACTTGGTTTCAACTTGTGTTGTCCAAATAACGTTTGATGATCAGACTTTCTGGATCCTTTTTACGAGCTTTCGTGGAATTTGATAGATCTCGACAATGCAGCTGGATTGACTTGCAACACTGGAGAAGATTCGGTTTTGTGATTCTTTTCGTCGCCCTTCTTCGATTCAAAGGCTTTGAAAAGCCCTTCACTAACTGAATCAGTTTTGTCATTCTTGATTCCTAGAGTTGCCCATATGGAGCTTTTCGCTGCCTCGCCAGGGTCGTCGATTCTCAGTGTTTTCGGTATCCAAAGACATCTCTCAGCTTTGTTATCTTTTTCCTGCACGGCGTCTTGAGAATCACTCTGCTTGCTCACATTCTCATCTCTTGAATGTTTCCCCAAGGTTGGAGAGTTTGGAGTAATGGGGCTCAGAGAGGGTGGTTGCGGAAGCCACGGGAGGGTCCAGGGGTTCGGAACGGTACAACCCCAAAACGGAGCAGCCGGGTAGAATGGCACAGGAATGCCTGGTGGATAGAAATTAGGAGGAGGAGGAACAGGAGAGCTCCATTGTGGTGAATGCCAAGGGTAAGGCCAAGGAGCCCCAGGAGGGAAGAATGGAATCTGAGGTAAAAAGCCTTGACAATCATGAATCACTTGATCTTGTCTTCCACTTTTAGCTTCTTCATTAGCACAAGATCCCTGAGACTGATGATGATCATGCTCTCCATTCTCATAAGCCACAGGAATTTTCAAAGCTTCAGGTTTCTTAAATCCATTTCTACTGCCATTCTGTCTTGTTTGATCAGCAATGTTCAAAATCGAAGTCATCGATTCACAAAGAGGCTTATCCGAACCAAATGCCAACACATTCCCATTAGGCCTAAGACTAGAATGACTCATAACATTAGAAACATCAGTTCGAGCATGCTGAAACGCCTCCGAAACAATAATCTGCCGGTTATGAGAAGCAGAATTCTTGTTCTTACGACGCCCTGCACCCACAGGAACGTTCCTCATCGTCCCACCAGCAGTCCAATACCTCTGACAGTTCTTACAAAAGTGGCGGGGCTGATTAACATTGTAGTTATTATAGTAACAGAACTTGGTATCCATGCTGTTACAACGAGGGCAGGGAAGTATCTTGTCGGGTTTCTTGAGTGTCTTCTCTTGTGAGTTACTTGTTTCATTCTGTTCATCATTCTTGGTAGTACTTGAGGGATTACTTTCCTCACCACAAACTACTTTAGACAAGTTTTCATCTCCATCTCCATCAAGATCCTCCACATTAGTTCCATTTGATTTCCCTCCTACAATCTCCTAATACACCAAAACACAAATTTCCTTATGAACATACATTACCAAAATCAAGCAACCAGCCTAAAAGATATCAGTAATCAAACCCCAAATTCTGAAACCATCAATTCTACATAGCCAATTATGGAAATTACAGCAAAAGAAAGAGTACCACATCACTAAATAGGTCAAAATTGAGTATCAAATAGGAATCCAAAATCTTCATGAGAATCGAGAACATCTTAAACAGAGGAACCCACAAAGCCCACAAATCAGGAAAATCAAAGGAGAAAAGAAACCTAAATTTCCGAGAACGGATTGAATTAAGTCAACAAAATCTAATTGAATCGAACCAGCAAATGGGTATTTGAAAATACAAAAAAAACAAATCGATTAGAAGCAACTCCATACCTTATCAGCCTCCAGATCTTCACCGTCCTCGTCGTCGTCGTCGTCGTCGCCATCGATATTGCCTTCCGGCGAGACGGTTGAAGAAGGAGAATCGCGGTCGTGATTAACAGTGGCAGTGCTATCGTCAATAGGTAAAGAAGACGGCAGAGGAGAGGCCGGAGAAGCCTCCGGCAAGGGAATCGTCTTCCCAAAGAGCTTGATCGCCGGATCCTTCAACTCCGACATATCTGTCCTGTTTTTTTTTTTTTTTTTTTTTTT